TCCTCGGGCCCTTTTCCGGCCCGGGGCCATCAGGATTGGGCCGTAGCCGAAATCAGACCTCCGAACAAGCTGGAGAAAGTGCCACGACTGCGACGGGACACCCGCGGGACAGCCGCGGAACAACCTTGGGACAGCCGAAGCAAAGCGGGCCGTTGGGTGGCAAAGTCGCGGGACGCCCCGGCAAAGTCTCAGGACAGCCACGGGACAACCGCGGGACCGCCGCGGGACAGTCGCGGGACAGCCACGGGACAGCCGGAGCCAAGTCGAGGCAAAATCAGGGGCCGAAGACGGAGGGACGAGGGAGGAGGGAAAAGGAAGGAGGGAAAACGAAAAGAAAGGGAAGCAGGGAGGGAAAAGGAAGGAGGGAAAAGGAAGAAGGGAGGAGGGAAAAGGAAGGAGGGAAAAGGAAGGAGGAGGGAGGAGGGAAAACGAAAAGAAAAGGATGGGCTACGTGGACGAAACAGACCTGAGCAGACAAACACGCGGAGGAGGCAGACACCAGGAGGGAGGAGGCCCCCCGAGACCGAAATTGTAGCAAAACGCCGGGATCGAAACACACATCCGCTGGAGGTTTGGGCACGCTTCCCTGACAATCCACCGGCTTCCTCGCGGAAGTGACAAAGCAGCCAAGGCTCGATTGGAAAAGTACGTTCAGGGAGATGGATGGCGATGAGGAAACGGAGGGCGAGGAGGAAGAAGAGGGGCAGGATGACTGGAGCATGAGGAATCAACATGGCCCGAAACGGCCCGAGAGAGATCCGCGACGGGCCCAGAAATCAGCGCCGGCACTACCTCCAAAGCCACCGGGCGCGCTCCGAGAGAACCCCAAGAAAGCTTCAAAAAGCAACCAGGCTGCCTACGACGGAGGAGCCCATCGATCGCGCCGCAGTTCTCAACGGCCTCCCGAGCCGACCAACGAGAGCCCCGAAAGCCCCCGAGAGAGCAGGATCTCACAGAAGACTCCCACCATGCAGAGGCACAGTGGGACCAGTCTTCTGGGGCAGGGAGTGCCACGGGAAGGGGGGCCAGCAGGCGCGGGCGAGGGAAAGAATCTGAGCCTTGTCTCTTGTGCTTGCTCGCGTTGGGATGGGTCGGGCCGCACCCTCGCGCCCCCCCCCCCCAAAGAAAAAGATGGCAGAGGAAGGGCGCGCGCCACCTGAGCATCTTACGGGCGATCCTGCTAGACGCCCGACAGCGCGAAGGTCGCAACAAGACCGCGCCGACGAAGAGCACGAGGGACCCCTAAACCTGCAACATCGCGCAGTGCCCACGCGATCGGCCAGAGCAGACGCAGGCGCCCGCGTCGGGGCGCACGCATCATGACAGCGACAACTGGAAAGCGCCAGGTGCTGAAGCTCGCGCAATGCATGCTCAAGCGATGGCGCTCGCAGCAATCCGCAGTCGAATCGGATTGAAGCTCGCGTTGGCTGCGCTAAGAGCAGACCAGCACGCGCGACAATCCGGCGCGCCGAAGCCCAAGCTGCTCACGCACGCAGGAAAGTTGCTCGCCCTGTTGAGAATGCCACGCGCCGGGCCCTTGAGCACCCTGCTGCATGTCAGCTTCTCTAAAGCACGACTCGCTTAGGATCGGCGTCTCCCCAACATACTCACACGATGGTGCGTCGCCCCTGCAGGGGCGACGCGCGCGCCGAGAAGTCTTATAGCATAAGCTCTCTGGCGGGCGCTCTCTTGCCACACCGCTCGGGAGGCGATAGACTACAAGACCGTGACACTAGATGTTCGGGTCGGACGCGCGCCTCCGAGGAGGACATCTATGGCACTGGCATGCCTCTGTGCGCACTACGGGAATTTACGCAGGCGGGCTGGAGGCTGTAAATGGAAAGGGTTGCCTCCACAAGGAGAAGAGGGGGTGGGTGGTCACAGCATAAGGGAAACAAGTCCCGAGCAGAGCAACACGCACCACGACAACGACGACGCCGACGACAACGACGACGACGACGACGACGGAGACGAGGCGCGCAGACGATCCGCACCGAAGCACGGATTCGGGAGAGGGCCCACCCTGCAGGTTCGGTTAAACAGCACATCGTTGAGCGGTGCTGCAGCCTCGCCTGAGCACAGGCTCCCCCCGGGGGAAGAGGATCCTATAGATCACGGTGCTGGTGGCAATCCTCCGGCCGCCCAGGAAGCCAGCATTGGTGCCACCACCCCCGAGATCGGGGCATTCCTCCCTCCTCGGCGGAGGCCCACCGCCGATGCTGGTGCTGGTGCCAACCTCTAGGCACCCAAGGGTGGGGGGAGGGGGGGGGGGGAGAGCAAGGGGGGGGGGAGGGGCAAGGGGGGGAGGCCTCCAAGGGTGGGGGGAGGGGCAAGGGTGGGGGGGATTTTCAGCCGCGGCCTCCCCGCTCTGCTGCGCTGGGCCTCCGCCGGCGCCCGCGGCCGCGCGGCGCGGCGCGCCTTCGGGGGGGCCCAGCGCCCCCCCCCCCGCCCCGAGAGAGGCCATGCTGAAGCGGGGCGAGCGCAAGCGGAGCCGGTCCAGGCGGGGCGCCCCCCGCTGCGGGGAGCAGGGCTGGACCTGAGCGCCCGTTTTGCGGGACTTCGGGCCGTGTTCTGCTTGCCGTTCTGGCAGGGGGTGCAGGGAAGCAGGTCGAGCGAAACGAAGGACGGAGCGAAAACAGCACGAAACACACGACGTTCATGTCCAGCCCTGGCAGGGGGGTGCAGGGAAGCAGGTCGAGCGAAACGAAAGACGGAGCGAAAGCAGCACGAACCACACAGCGTTCCGGTCCGGCCCTGGCGGGGAGAGGGGGCGGCAGCGCGGCGGGCGGGGCACCATGGCCAGAGCCCGCCTCGCGCGGCGAGAAGCATCCCAGCGGGGGGGGGTTGCATTCGGGGGGGGGGGGGGGGGGGGGGGGGGCGTTCCGGCTCTGTTCGCGCCGGAGAAGTCACGACACACATCGACAAAAAGAGTCGCACGATGTTCGGCCTTCGAGGGCCCTTCCTGGGCCTCGGGAGCGTCCGAAAACGACTCGGGGTGAAGGGCCAGTTCCCGGGAAAGGGTCCAGACCACTGGGGTCGACATTGTGAACAAAAATCACGACGTGGTGCGGGGGTCTGGGGTCTGGGTGGCCAGGAAGGGGGAAAAGCACACAGACACAAGTCACCTTGGATTTTCAGGAACAGAGGGGGACGAATGATTCTGGGAATGGGAGGGGGGCGGAGGACGAGAAAACCCGGAAGACCTATTTGGGAATACAGGGATCCTGGATTTGTGTCTGTTCTTGCGTGCGTGGTTGCGTATGTGTGTATGTGTGTATGTGTGTGTATGTGTGTATGTATGTGTCTGTGTGTATGTGTGTGTATGGTGTGTGTCTGTGTGTGGGAGAGAGAGAGAGAGAGAGAGAGTTTGTGTGTGAGAGAGAGTGTGTGTGTGTGTCTGTGTCTGTGTCTGTGTCTGTGTCTGTGTCTGTGTCTGTGTCTGTGTCTGTGTCTGTGTCTGTGTCTGTGTCTGTGTCTGTGTCTGTGTCTGTGTCTGCGTCTGTCTCTGTGTCTGTGTCTGTGTCTGTCTCTGGGTCTGTGTCTGTGTCTGTGCGTCTGTGCGTCTGTGTGTGTGTGTGTCTGTGTGTGTGTGTGTCCCTGGGCCCCTGTGACTACATAAAACCGCAGCTAGGAGCGGGGACGCCTCCCCCGAATGCCTCGCTCGTCCCCTTGCACTGCGCCCTTCCCGCCGTCGCACCCCACCCGCACATCCTCCCCCCTCCCCCGCGCTCGAGGAGGGGGACTGCGTAGTCAGAGGGAGGAGAGGAGGAGGAGGAGGAGGAGGAGGAGGAGGAGGAGGAGGAGGAGGAGGAGGAGGACTCGAGGACTCGAGAACTAAGGGCAACGCGGTCGACTCAGCCGCCGCGCCCCCCCCTCCCGCGCACGCTGCGCAGGCTCATGAGGTCGCGAGCCAGCCCGAGAAACAGGGCGGGCCTCCACCTCCCTGCCACTACCGGGGCAGAATACATCTGCGGGGCCGAAGCCCCGAGCCGCGAACTCAATCACATGCAACTTGTTGAGCCCCCACAGCACCTGGACGTAGAAGACATGGAGGCAGTGGCTCTGTGAGGTTGCCCAACCGTGCCGCCCACGACAACAGATAGGAGAGGCGTATGGATGCGCCCGCAGTTAACGTTCAATGTGATACTCACCCTGTTGGCGCCCGTGCGTCCATTCTCCCGCACAGCTAACAACCGCAGAACGAGGCTTCCAATTCACAAACGGCACTCTCCCATCACAGGGTTGCTGAAGCCCACCAAGCCACGTACTCTTGACGCGTGAATTGTAGTGCCCTGCGCAAAACACCGCAACGTAGGACGACGACGCAATGCAACGAGCCCTCCGACACGGAGAAAAGCGCCCCGCAGCAGCGCACCCCATCTCCTTCCTCAAGAAGACCGCCACTGCAGGAAAAACAAGCCGTATGTGGGGCATGACTGGCCAAAAAGGACGAGGAGGAGGAGGAGGAGGAGGAGGAGGAGGAGGAGGAGGAGGAGGAAGAGGAGGAGGAGGAGGAGGAGGAGGAGGCGGAGGAGGAGGAGGAGGAGGAGGAGGAGGAGGAGGAGGGGGAGGGGGAGGAGGAGGTGGACGGCGGAGGAGGAGGTGGACGGCGGAGGAGGAGGAGGAGGAGGAGGAGGAGGTGGACGGCGGAGGAGGAGGTGGACGGCGAAGGGTGCTCCAGGAGCCGTGCCCTCACAGCGGGGCCGCCTGCCCAGGGGGGCCTGGCCCGCCGGGCCCCTGCCCGACCACCGGGCGGGCCCGCCCCGGGAGGGGCGGGGCCGAGCCCGGCCGGCCGCAGCGGAGGGGGGCGCGGCAGCGCCGCAGCGCGGGGGCCCGCGGAGGCCGCACGACGGGCCAGGCAGCCTCAGTGCCAGCACTAGGTCGGGCCTGTCCCTCTACCTTGGCATCGCTCGGACATGTGATTTTTTTTTCCGGCGAGGACCATCGAGGAGCATCCTTGATCATTTGGCGAAATTATCCCGGCAAAGCAACCTAACAGCGATGTATAGAAGCATAGCTGGAAACATTGCCTGTGGTATTCATGTAAGAGTGCTGTTGTAGAATTCTGGTTTTCTCGCAGTCGCATTCGGATTCGCAGTGGCAGTCGCAGTGGCAACATCAGCGGCAGTCGCAGTGGCACTGCCAGTAGTTGCAGTAGCAATAGCTACACTAGCAGCAGCAACAGCAGCAGCAGAAGTAATTGTGATGGTAGTAGTGGTAACAGTGAAGTAGTAGTTGAGTGGCCCGGGAGTGGAGTTCTGGGAAGTGGAAGAGCACGAAGTGGCCTACAGTTGGCTCCGGGCATTCAGAGTGTGGCCCGGGAATGGAGTTCTGGGAGGTCGAAGAGCACGAAGTGGCCTACAGTTGGCTCCGGGCATTCAAAATGTGGCCCGGGAATAGAGTTCTGGGAAGTCGAAGAGCACGAAGTGGCCTACAGTTGGCTCCGGGCATTCAAAATGTGGCCCGGGAATGGGCATTCAGAATGTGGCCCGGGAATGGAGTTCTGGGAGGTCGAAGAGCACGAAGTGTGTGACTGTTTGCGAAAAACGAGTTCGGACCCAGCTCCCCGGATGCCGCCCGGACCCCCCTGTAGAGTCATGATGCTCTCTTTTGACCCTACTAGAACCCTATCAGTCTTCGCTGTTAGGTAAAAACCACGCACGAAACCGAAAAAAGCAGAGGGAATTGACGTCCGAGCGATGGCCAGCTACAGAGGGGATCTTCAAAAATAGTGAACAAATAGTCTGGGGATTATTTTTGTTTACTATTTTTTAGCATTTCTGTACGTTTGTATTGATTGGGTTTTTTTATTTTTCGTCAAAGATCCCCCTGTAGGGGGACACGCCCGACTTAATACCAGCACCGGGGTGTCACCCTCCGTTCGGGAAGCCACTCTGGAATCGACGGGGCGTAAGTCGGGTCGGCCCAAGAGGGGGTCCGGCGAGAAGGGGGTGGTGCAATAGATCTGGTGCAATAGATTTGTGGGGTTGCAATACATCTGGGCCGTGCAATACACTTCGGGGCGCAAAGGTATTGCTGTACTTTCGCGCGCAATGCATTACCTGATATATACACTGGAATACAGTTCTCTGGCGCAGTACACTTGCAATGCAGTTGCCCCAAACCTATTGCACAACACCACCCCATTTCAGCTGGACCCCCTTTTGTCGGGCTGGACGAAAGGGGGGGACTGGGAAAGGGGGGTTTACGAAATCTGCTGCATGCAGCTGGTTTCGGCCCCACCGAGGGGCCCATTCCTCGATACATAGCCGCCTCCAGCGCCAGGAGGCACCGGGAAAATCAGCTACGTGAGCTGATTCTCAACCCCACCTTTTGCTATCCCCCCCTTTCGCCCGGCCCGATCTTGGGTCACCCAAAGTAAGAGGGACCTTTCGTTCATCGGGGCTCCCCGATCGCCGAGCGCGGAGCCGCGGCAGCGGCCTGCGTGCTCGGGTCTGGCCCCCTCGCGGCCCTCCAGAGCCGCGCACCAAGGGTCACCTCCTCCTGCTCCTCCTCCTCCTCCTCCTCCTCCAAGTCCTCCTCCGCCTCAAAAGCGGAGGCGTACAGAAGGAACGCACGACTTGGCCTCGCTGACGTGTTCCCCCCTATTCCTCGCCTCCCATGTTCCTCCTTTCCCGTGGGCTTCTGGTTATAGCAGACGTTTCCATGACGGCGGCCTTTGGGGGGGGAGAGAACCTGAAATTGACCAAGGCCCTCAGGACGTACGCCAGAAAGGAAGAAACATGTAATGATGACGAAGCGCCTGTCCACGTTGAAATTGACGCAGACCTTGTGGACGAATCCACGAAGAAGAACAACGTCACGATGGATATGAAGAAGCGCCTGCATATGCGAAGCTGACGCCGGCCCAAAGTGCGAAAGCCCAGAAGAAGAAGAAGAAGAAGAAGAAGTAAAACAACCCAATGATGGGGAAGAAACGCCTGATCATGTCGAAACGGACGCCGGCCTCCTGGGCGAAAGCCAGGGAGAAGAAAAGGAAAGACCCAACGAAGGGAACTCGGCTGCGACAGTCAACCCGCATTGTGTGTAAGGATGGGCATTCCTCCCGAGGATACCCTTTCATCCTTGCCTCCTCGGTCCATCCCTGGCCACTTTTGTTGGCCGCGCCCCGCTCGAACAGCTTCGAGATGGGCTTCCAAGGCCCTTGCATCCTTATGGCGCATCCTTCCAATACGGGTTGACTGCCCAGATATGCGCCGTCCTGATTTTTTCAGTATGGGGTCCTTGGAGGTCCCGACCTTTCCCGAGGACCCGTTTTTCATCCGAAGTCGTCTTTGGACGGTCCCGAGGCCCGGCGAGGGCCCGCCGAGGCCGAAAATTGCCAAAAACCTCCCGCCATGATTTTTAACGACGCGATCGTACCGTGCGCCACGCATCCTTGGCCAAATGGAGCCACTTCTCGTGCGACACCCCGTCGGGCTTCTGGAGGACCACGTGCTTATCGCAGCCTCCGCACCTCCACGGCGCCCCCTCCCCAGC